TCAGTCTCCGGCTCCTCTCGAGTTGAGCTGTTGAGACCGTCTGGGCTTAACGAAGCATCACGGCGCTTCTCTGCGCCTCGGCCTGGACTTACGCCAAAATCCTCTCCCCTCTCACCGGCCATCTTGGACTTACTTCGATCCTTGCCGCCCGGTCGCTTTGTGTTCTCCGAGGTGTTTCCTGACCTGAGTTCTGCTCTTCTTCACGGTCGGGGGTGGCTTGACTTGTTTTCGGGTTCCCGGGGCTTTGCTAAGGAGCTAGCTCGAGCCGCGCCATGTTGGATCCTCTGTTATGATGTGCTGCATGGAAGCGACGAGGACTTGCTGGACTGTGACGTTCAAAAGCCGATCAAGCGGCTTCTGGAAGGTGGGGCCTTCGAGGGTTTCAGTGCTGGACCTGTCTGCGCTAGCTTTTCTTGCGCGATCACTCCTCCATGGAGAAGCTCTGAGTACCCTGCTGGAAAACCCAACCTGACAGCGGCGCAGTGGGATAAGGTCCGAGAAGGGAATGCCATGCTCGACTTCGTTCTGGAACTGGTGATTATCTGCGACCGAGGAGGACTTCTGTACTTGATCGAAAACCCTTTAGGCAGCTGGATGTGGCGCCAAGAAGGGTGGAAGCGGTGTCTCGCACGAGGTACGAGGTGGGACTTCGCTGTCGACTTTTGCACTTTTGGGACTCCTTGGAAGAAACCTACTCGCTTTCGAACGAATGGGCAACTCGGTGGACAACACTTGAGGTGCAGCCGGGATCACCAGCACCTTCGACTCCGCGGTCGTGATCCTGCTACAAAGTCATCGCGGACCAAGCTTGGTGAGCCTTACCCCAGGAGGCTCTGCGTGCTATTGGCTCAGGCTACGTGTCAAGACGCTGGTTGGGCTGATTACGCTCGGCCTTTGGACATTAGCCGGTGCGCCAAGTGCACCAATGCGCGGATCGGGGAGGCGAGAGTTCCTGGACCTCCACGTCGGAAGGCGAGAGCACCTCTTATCTTGCGGGACGTACCTCTTGTCGAGCCGGCTACGCTTGCTTTGCAGACGGCCGTTTGGTCAGGCTTCAGCAGATGGCTTCACGATGGTGCTGGAGCTGTCGCCGCTGAAATCGCTTTGAGCTGCCCTGACATTCTGGTTGAGATGCTTTGTGCGTATGGCCAGGTTCTGTATAGCGAAGGTGCCCCTCTCCAAAACTACAGGCAGCTGCTCGCGACTGCTCAAAGGCGAGTTCCTGGATGTCGCCCTCTCCTGAAGCCTGGGTGGGAGATGCTCACCCGCTGGGAGCGCTTGGAGCCGGTCCAACACAGGCCGCCTCTACCGGAGCCAATCTTCGAGGCGATGTGCTGCCTCGGCTTCTGTTGGGGATGGAAACGTTGGGTCTGCATCACGCTCGTTGCCTTTTACGGGTGCTGCCGCATCGGGGAGGTCTTGAGGGCGAAGAGATCAGATTTACAGACACCGAAGGACCTTCTACGAACTGATTTTCGGTTCTTCTTGAAGATCCGTGAGCCTAAAACTAGGTTCCGGGGACCGCGTACTCAGCATGTGGCATTGGTGCTTCCGTCTGGGATTGCGGAGTTCATTTCTTCTGTCTGTGATGCCATACCTCCCTCGGAGGGACTTTACCACGGAAGCCCCTCAGTCTACAGACGTCGATGGGATTACCTGCTTGAAAGGCTTGGTGTCGCTCGGACGTTCAAGCTCACCCCGGGATCCCTCCGGGGCGGAGGAGCTGTGGCAGCTTACCAAGGGGGCTTGGATATTCCATCACTGCAGTGGCGAATGCGGCTTCAGCATCAGGCGACACTGGCCTTCTACCTACAGGAGGTCGCCGCTGGTTCTGTGCTCCCCTCACTCCCTCGACATTCGAGAGAAGCTATCGAAGCGGCTAGAGCCGTTTTTCCGTTCTTGTTTAACTCCGCCCAGCGCGCTATCGCCACGCCTGCAAGGCTGTAACTTTAGCTGGCCGGGCATGATGGTGGAGCTGACTGGTGGCGGAAAATTTACGCCTCAGTCAGGAGCCACCTTTGTCTTGTTGCGGAGCAAAAAGACCGGATGCACTGAGGGATCAAACATGATCAAGCATGTTTGTTCCGGTGTGAGCTTTTGTGGCCCACCCGCCACTCCCTTGAGCTGACTGGTGGCGGAAAATTTACGCCTCAGTCAGGAGCCACCTTTGTCTTGTTGCGGAGCAAAAAGACCGGATGCACTGAGGGATCAAACATGCTGAATATCTCCTTCTTTTCCTATTTCGGCTTCACTTGGAAACGCAGGAAATTGTTGTCAGACACCCACGTTTTACTACGACATCTATGCGGTCTACGATCCCGATGGCGCCTTGGAGTTGCTTTCTTGGGGGGGGTGGGGCCTTGGCTGTGGAGGCTTCTTCGTGAATCCCGACAAACAAGTCACATCTTTGAGGGGAGGAGTGCCCTTAGAGTGCCATTGTAGAACCCTTACATTGCAGTCGAAGTCCCCTTGCAATAAATATCCTTTGTATGCAGAGATGTTCCCGGGGTGCCGAAAGATTCTGGAGATAAGCTGCCAGTCCATAAACATCGAAGCCACCGCATCCTAAGCTGCTGCTGGGTTTTGGCCTGATGATAACTATTGCGCATTCTAGCGTCTTTGTGGAACCTTTATAGACAGCTGTGTGTTTGTTTTGTGCACGTACTCCGTCTTACAGTGCTCGTGGAGACCCGTATGAATCCCTTCTAGTACCGTCGTAGCATCCTCATACGAACTTCTAGGTCGAGGGTCGCCTTAGTGTGATGCTTCGTGCGGGTCTTCGACACCAAAGCCCAAAAACAACGACCGTAGCCCCTACATCGAATTATTGCCAGCCGCTCGGGCACGCAGGGTTTCTATTACACGGAAATCCCAAGAATCGCAAACCCCACCTAGACCCTCCATCAACCCTCTGTCAGACCCTACATACCCACCAGGTGGGACCACATGCCCCTATTTGAGGGTGCAAGGAGGGTCCTGGTCCGTAAGCGCCGAAGGCAAGGAGACCCGATGGAGCCAACTCGCGCGAGAAGCTCCAGCACAGGTAATGATGACCATCTGACGGCATAGGGCTTTAGGGTTAGGGTTTAGGGTTCAGGTTGAACTTGTCAGACGTGTTCTCGTTCTTGCCGTGTTGGGTGTCATCATAGCCGATCAGATATGGTGGAGAGAGGGTCATACGGATTTCAAAATAGCTGTGCATCTCCGTGTTTTCTGCAGCGCCTGCATCCATGTAAACACTGTGGTCAAGATCGCCACACCGACGGATGCACGTCCTGCACAGCCCATTCCACGACGCATTGAGTTGAGGGCGGCGGAGACGGTGCGGGTGTGCAGTCTGCACGCAGCGCTCTTCGCGCGAAGCAGCGGACGGAAGCGTTTAATTCGATCCTGATGGAGACTCGAGACGGGATTGCCATTCTCTCCGCGCATGGTGCGCTCGTCCTCGAGCAAAGTCGCGGAGTGTAGGCTGATTAAAGAAGGTTGTTGTCATTAGCATATGCGGCGGTTTAGAGCTCAGTGTAGCTTTGAGGAGTTCTGTGGCTGTTGCCAACATGAGGCTGTTGCATGAGTACTTACGTTAGAGGCCTACAGGTTTGGTGGGCGCTGACGACGAGACTTGTGATCTGACTTCTCCAGCTCTGAGGCTTTCGGAATTCGGCCTGTTTCTGTAGGGTGACGGAGGAGTGCCGAAATACTTGGAACCTACCCCCTTGTTGATTTGAATGCCGCTAGGCCTTCAACCCAAAGCCGTGGACCCGAGCTGTGAGAGCCTCGAAACGTAAACCCAAAACCCTAATTCCCTTCGGGCATCATCCGATAAACTCGGAGCGATACAGAGAAGATTAGCATGGCCCTTGCGTAAGGATGACACGCACAAACCGAGAAGTGTACCAAGTAAACCATACTCGCAGATCTCGAAACCCTAGACCCACCTCGCAAACAAGGAAGAGGTTTTAATAGGGTGTATGGTTTGAAGGAAGTTTAGGGTCTAGAGATCTAGCGTTTGGGGTGTTGGCAAAACCAGACGGTTACCGAACCCGCAGAGAGGTAGGTTTCACCGAAACCCTGCTCCGTTCATGAGGTTTGGAGGGCGTCCGGAGTCTAGATGCCTCATGAGAAGCCAGCAGGACGCTCTAAGAATTCCAAGTCTCCAGCTGCACCTAGCTTTGCTCAATACTGGCTAGCTCGATAGTTCATTCAGTTCCCTATCGGTTCTTATTGCGCTCATGGTTGCTACCATTAGGTGTGCTTACGCTTTAGACATGTAGAACTTTGTTTGTCAGTCGGAAGCTTCAGAGTTCCAACAATTCGTTCGAAGCTTCACCTTCGACCTGGGCCGTAGCCATTTTGGCTTGCTTTTAGTCCACCCGGGATGCAGAGGGTCTTGCAGCTGGCAGTAAGAAGCTTCGTTACAACAAGCCTACCCCCCTGTGAGAACCATCCATCACAGTCACAGGACAAGCTGTAAGAATGATAACGATTTCAAGCTTCGAGCTTTTTTGGTAGTAAGCCGTAATTAAGCAGACTCGGATAATACATTACGTATACATGTGCTTAGATCTGGTTTGGATGTTTGTATACGTATATACCTGTACATATACATATACATATACATATACATATATGTATATATATATATATATATATATATATATATATATATGTATATGTATTTCTGTACACACGCGGTAAGAAGCTATACATCTTGCATGGCAAAGCGAAGCGTAGGCCCCGGCCTCGGCTTCAGGGCGCTGGCATCACTCGAGCAAAGTGGACAACCGCCGACGCCTTCAGACCAGCACCTGAAGAAGGATGTGTATTTGAATGTACGCTTGTAAATGTATGAAATGCATATGTATATATAGACACATATGTGTACATATGTGTGTGTGTGTATGTATGTATGTATCTCTCTCAGGCTGACCCGGTGGGTTGGTTCCTGAGAGGCTGTGACAACCTGAGACGCAAACCTTCAAGCTTGCAATCAGGTCGAGCAGATGGCCGACCAGGAGAACCAGGAGGCAGGATCCAGATTTTCAGTCCCACTGTGGGCTATTATGTCATGGGAGATAGGCCCCAAACCCCCAAAACCGAAAACCCTTCACCCCGAAGCCAAATGCCCGAAGCCCTAAACCTTACACCCTAAACCCGAAACCTTAAACCCTATAAACCCGAAACCCCAAGCCCTTCAATCAAACGCAGCCCAACACGCTGCGCAGGGTCCGCCTCCGCAGGCCAGGTTGGAATGCCCTTTGTTCTAAGTGGGAGTTTCCGAAGACAAGGGGTACCTTATTTTGGGGCCGCTTATAATGAGGGTCCTACTATTTAGGGTACTATATTAGGGTTCCCTATATTCGGAAACTCCCAAGTGACAGAAAGCATCGCGGCTGGAGTCTCTAAGTTTTGAGCTAGGCGAGTTTAGCAGACATTCGCGCAAAGTGATGTTTTTGAGTTCCACTAGCCACTAGCAGCAAGGGCTGCTTCCTTTACATTGCGCGAGCATTGTGAGTCGATGTCCTGTGCGCTTTCGGAAGTGCAGATACTTGGTTGCCAGCGCCCCCTGAACTGTCTTTAGCTTCATATGATTCGTATGCGATATGCAGGGGACGATGTTGCCAGGGACGCCAGCACGCTCCACTCAGGAGGCCAGCTGCAGTCATGCCGTTGGTGTAGAGCCCAATTGGCAATATGCCGCGTTACTGCACTGTGGCAATATTCGAACAACCTTTGCTGAATAGTTGACTGGACTTCTAGTTTAGGGCCGCCCTTCCGGGCATGCCTCAGTCAATGCTGGAGGCAAACCCTTTTTTCGAAAGCAGGAGACCTTTTCAAAAGCACGTTGCGAGCTGAACAATATAGCAGCTCGTCCCCGATTTTCGGTGCTACGGTTGATCATATAAATCCTGCATTACCTTAGTGACTTTAAACTATGGGAATTATGGTATATTCCTTGTTATGGGTCATGCAGGATTTCTATCATCAACCGTAGCGACCTTTGCAAGGCTCCAGATGCCGTCTGGTCGCGAAGAGACAAACTGCTCGTGTCCGCGAGGGTGATGGAGACGCTGCAAGCGAAGCTGCAGCCTCTGGCACAGGCAAGGGCCAGCCCGGGCCCCTGTGAAGCTTGGCGAAGACCGAGCTTTTTTGGTCTTTGTGTAATTAATCTTACCTTTGGTTAGTAGGGCATGGAAGAATGGTAGTAATAGTGGTTATACTGTTATACTTGTACCCCATTCCTCCATTCCCTACTAACCAAGGGGAAGTAATGCGGAGGTTGTTTGCGCAGTGGCACGTGCAGTCTTGCAGTTTCTCGGCCTGACCTGAGGAACCACTTCGAGAAACCGCTGCTTCTGAACGTGGCTCCATCGACCCCAAAGATGTACAGGACGGAGCATGATACATGCTTTACTGCTTCACAGTTGCACTCACTTTGGCGTCTGCAGCGGCTGTAGCCGTGCAGCCTCTCAGTGCTTGAGCTGGGTCCCTTAATCCTTGTGTCTATGCTGAACCCTACCCTACATCTCTAACCCTCTTCCGATTCCTAGACCCTGAACCCAAAACGGAGGAGGGCATGTCAGTTGGGATACCCGTGATATCCTGGCAGCTGGACAACCAACTGGACGAGATGATGGCGTCCCGCAATGGCTCCCCAAACCCGAAAATTGAGGTCCGAGAGCGCTTGGTGCAAGAGCTCAAAAAGATTGGGCTCTGGACGGGCACATCCGAGACACAGCCCATTCATACGCGGGGAGCTATGTTCCAGACAAGGACTGCACCAGATATTCGTGTCTCGGTAGGCCGCTGGCACATTTTCGATTGTTGCTGAGGGATCCTTTTCCTACACTTTAAAGTGGGCCTTGAAGCAAGGGCCTACCAGCCCTCAACCCTAAAACCCCTCCAAGCAAAAAAGAAGCTTTATAGTAAAAGCCAGAAATTTGGAATATGATTATCCTAAACCCTTTATGGTAAATTATAGGGTATCCTACCCTGAAACCATATTCCAACTTTCTGGAGTTCCCTTTAGGTGTACATGTTCAGATTGCAGCTCGATCAGACCAAGAGTCCTGGCCCCTTGTCAGCGAGATCCACTGCACCAGCGTCAGGCGGCTCGGAGCTTCAAAAAAGCAATGGCAATTACATGTGGGGTCCTGAAGTAGGGGAATGTACTAATGTACCTATAATGTGCGACCCTCAGATTAAAATGGCCTGCCATTATTTCGGGTTGCTCCTAATTCATATCTTCTGAAGCTCCCAGGTGCGGCCTTGCGCAGGACACCGCCTCGAAAGCCGTATCGCTTCTTGAGGCTCGTAGGTACTGGCGCCAGCGCTTCCTTTCCGAGGCTCTTCAGACGAATCCGGGGCAGCCGGAACCGGATGGTGAGAGAGCTGTTCAGAGCATGCAGTGGCCGGAAGCCACGCAAGAGTTTTTCGTGAGCATTCTCATGGAGGCCGTGTTCAATGCCCTGAAGGATGTGAAGCTTCCAGGCGCGCAGCCCATGCCATCTCTGCAGACAGAATCTCTGCAAGACTTCTGTTTCCCTCCGCTATATGCAGAAGATACCTATGCGGACATGGGCTGCCAGCTGAGCCCCCCCCAATTCCTCAATGTAGCAGCCCCACTCTGGATGGCAGTTACGAGGAGCCTGGCAGATACGAAGAGGGAGTTGCAGCGGCTGGGCGGCCAAGCGCATCTTCAAGTTGCATTGAACACCCCTGTAGTTTACAAGTCCTCGTCGAAGAGGGGTAAGCTCCTCTGTGGGAATGTGCTCATGTTCGTGCTGGACTCCTTAAGCCAGCGCCAAAGCGGGGGGAGCCCTGGGGAGCAGCGAGATGTCATCCGTAGCCTCCTGGAGCACCGAGCAGATGCAGAGTCTTGCTACGGGATGTTTCCGATTGGAACGAAGGACAGCCTCGGAGAGTTTCCGGTGTTGAGCTTGGCGAAGGACCAGGTCGTTACGCAGTTGCTGGGCTCTTGTTAAGCTAAGTTAACCATACCAGTAGCATATAGAAAGAAGAAAGCACCACTTCTTAGTGAATAGATCCGTACTGACTTACTGTGCTAACTTAAACTAAGTTCAGGTTACTGCTGGACCATGGAGCGCAGCCAGACCAGACGAGTCTTGTGAACTTCTTCCCCTCCGGCTCCTGCCTTTGGACGGCGACCTGGCGATCGAGCCCAGTCTTTACGCTGCTTCTTCGTCACAGCAAAGGTGTCGACAACCACGGATGGTATCCAGATACATCGCCGCTCATCCCGGGTCAAGAGCCAGATGGCTGCAGGGTGCTGGCTCTGGCAGCCATGACATCCGCCGAGGAGCACATGAAGCTGCTGCTGGAGAAAGACGCTTCGCTTGGACAAGACATGGCCCATGTGCTGCTGGGTTCTTGTTGAGCAACTTAAACATTTAAGATACCATAATAAGGAGATCCCATCATTCACCATAGATCCCTAGTGCGGTAGTCTACAGTCAGTTCCTAAAATGCCAGCACAGGCTTGCATATTGCCCAAGTGGCAATGCTAGAATCCTGGCTCGAAGCCTCTTCCAATCCGCAAAGAACGCGCGACAGATCGTGGATGGCAGTGCCCTGAGGCGCATGTCGGGCATGAGACTGGAGCTCTTCTTCAAAGAAGTACTGAACCATGGCCCCTGCCAGAAAGCATTGCGAGAGGCTCTCGCAGCGGAATGCCGCGACCCCAAGCGCAAACATCCAAAGTTTCTGTTGAATCGGACCGTGCAGGAGATCCTAACGAAGGCGCCGCTGGCTGCAGGATGCCTCTTGGATTTTCAAGCCAGGCCCCCCGACGTGGCTGACTTGAACAGGTTTCCCTTGGCTCAGAGCTGCTTCTTCGACGTGCACGAGCTCCAGAACACGGCTTATGTCGGCGGAGTCCAGTGGACCAACCGCACGGAGGACCGCGCCGAAATGTTTGCAGACAACCTCGCTCCACCAGTTGCAATGTCGCCATGGTTGGCAGGGAAGGCCAAGACTAATCCGTATCTCATGCTCTTCATCACGGCTCTCTACTCCGTTCTGCCAGAATACAGACGCCAGCATGCCTGCGAAATTACCGTGCTCAGGCACCCCAACATTCTCAACCCCACAGTCATGCAGACGTTGGAGAAACTTCCCCATGAGCAGCTGGTGACTCTGTTTATGAAGAGCTATGCTTTTCGAGGCATTGCCTACCACCTGTGGACAGTTTACAAAGGGCTTTGTTACATGGACGTATCAATCACCGTGTTACAGCTCTTAAGTTTGGTGATTTGGTGGCGGAAGCTCGGCCGCAAATCTGTGAAATCTTTCTGTGTTGCTCCGCCTACTAGAGTGCCACGAACCATGGCCAAAAGACTGCTTGCCCTGCCAGCAGAGGCGTCGTGCTTCACCCTGAACAGCAAATATAGGTCCAAGTGCGCCTGCAGCAGTCTATGCTCTAGGAGTGTCCCGAAGCTGTGGTAGACCGCACTGATAAAAAGCTTTGCCACGTGAGGAGCGCTCTCATCGAGGAGGTTGTGATTGCATGTTGGTGCATATTTACAGCCGGCGTGCTTCTGGATGCATCAGGTGTGTTACTGAAGCTTAGTCAGCTGCGTCGGCCTTCATTCAAACGAGTTCTACAGACAGGCCTGGGTTTCTGGATGTCCTACATCACGTGGGCAGCAACCACCTCGAGTCCTTTTCGGACTCCCACGGCAGTAAATATGGCTCTTGGAATTCTGGGGGGTATCTACGAGCTGAGGCTCTTTTACCCCTTGGGCCTTCCCTTGGGTTCGAATTTGGTTCCCATCATGCGGGCTGCCCAGACCAGCCAGTTCATGGCGATGCTGATCCTCTTGATGCTAGGTTTTTGTCGAGGAACCAAAATTCCAGTTTCAGAGTATCTGAAGCCTAGTCATCCAGTCTTTGGACAGTATCCCCATAGTTCCCTAGCGTGAACCCAGGATGTCCATCATTGCCGCAACATATTTGGCAGCCTGCGTGGAGTTCCGCGAACTGGGGGATGAACTGTTGCCAGTTGCCGTAAGGACTTGGCAGACCTTGATCGTCGGAGAATCTTCTTTGTATCTATAGTTTCCTTAAGAATTGTTTTGTATTTGAGTGTTTTTTTATACCCCCTGGTTTTTTGCATTTTTATTATTTGTATTATGGTTGTAAGGGGAGTATAGGTATGATGTTGACGACTACGAGCACGAGCTGCCACGGTACCTGTTTGTCTCCGCTCTCTTCTTTGTCTGCAATGTCGTGCTCATGAACATTTTCATCAATGTGACTGGCGCAAGTTACGAAGAAGAGCGAAAATTGGAATGTGGAACTTTCAGTGCAGAGCGATTCGGCACCTGCATGGAGTTCACAGGGATCACTTTGAGAAGCCGTCAGCTGGTGTTGGTGTTGGTAGGCTTGGCCGTGCTGAGCAAAGCCGCCATCAGCCTGGTTCAGTGGGAAACGAGGATCCTGGTCTGCGAACTTGTAGTGCTGGCATGCTTCTTAATGCTCTATGGTGTGCAGTGGTTTCTGGGCATGCGGGCTGACCGGCTCTTTGACGGAACCGGCAAGCCCCGATATTTGTGGATATGTCGTGCAGTATGCCAGGAGGATGAGGATGAGACCGAGAAGGAAGAAAAGAAGCCGGTGGAAAGCACCTCTTGCTCAAGTACTTCAGTTACCGAAACCGTCGCCCACCGCGTGCCTACGAGGCGCCCCACAGTTCCCATAATTCCCACAGGTCCACAGCATGATTGGTTACACGAGTTCGTCTCAAGCATGCAGCTGGACTTTGGAAAGTATTTGGAGCTCACTCTTCAGCTTGCAGAGAAGAACAGCATACTGCAAAGCCACATGCTAGAGTTCCTTCGAAGTTCTGCCGACCAACACAGTGACTCCAGCCAGTGCATTCTGGACCTCCCGAAATACTTGCTGCAGACCCTCCAGTGGTCGGAAACGAACAGCCTCGTGCAGGGCGAGTTGCTGCATTTCATCGCAAGGCAGGGGTTGCCTGCTCTTCGATTTCTTATACTAAGGATCCGACTGTATAGGGTCCGTCCTTCTAACCACCATCTACTCCGAACTTCCCAGGTGTGCCAAAGATCAGAAGTCTGCCAGCGAATACGTGGAGCAGCTCATCCTCCGATTGAACCTTTCACCAGACGATGCCACTCATGTCCGAAAGCAAGTTCAAGAAGCATGGTCGGGTGGTAGCACAGCTCAAACAGGCTAGTTCCTTGGAGCTTTGCGCTTCGGCAAAACCTGCCGATCCACCTTCCGCGAAAACTCATGGACCGAGTGTGCGACTGGCATGGCCTTTACACGAACCCCCGAAAGGAGGTCTAGACTTTAGAGTCTCTAGAGTCCAGAGCCCCCAGATCGCCGCCTCTGGCATACATGTACATACATAACTGCATACATATACATATACATATATATAATATGCGTACACACTCTATGATGGGGGTAAATCCTTCAAGACCTTCGTCTTTTGAGCAACTTACACCAGTGGACCGGATGGCGCTTCTCGCTGAATGTGGCTCGCAGTCAGACAGTTGAAGGCTGACGACACGTCTATCTAGTGCTGCAAGGGACAGCCACATAGTGGCACCCCCGGAGGCACAAGGCAGAGGAACTAAGAGGACATGCATGAGACTGTCAAGCCAGGCTTTGCTGTAACCATCGGGACCCGCCTTCGTCTGACCTTAATTCAGTGCCATTCACAACTGCCACTCGCGCGCGGCCCTCTGTCACCCTCTGTCACGAACTCGTTTCATCCCTGTCTCATCACCTTATGTCTTTCACAGACCGGACTGTCAGTTTCTGCGTGCATGCAATGACCGAGGTCCAAGCCGCATGGCAGGTGAAGGCAGTGCTTCCCGGCAGGCGGCCGTGCATATTGGGGTTTGGGATGCAGAAGGTTTGTCTCTATCTGAGGGCTTTCTATCCGCTTTCCCTGCAGGGCTGCAGCGCAGGAGTTGAAGTGAAGGTTCCCAGTCGTGCAAGAAGGGGTTCGGAAGTTCTGGCCCTAATCATATTGAGCTCGACGGTACCCCAATGGAAGAGGCAGCTGCAAGTCTTCACGTTCGCGGCTTTGCACCTTGCTCCGTACCGCCGAGTAGCACCTGTGTATTTCCCAAGTCATGAATTCTTGCCTTCATGTTTTCGTTCGACTCTCAAATTTCTTGGCCCGAGTTTACATATATGTACAAATGTAAATATGTTTTTGCATTTATCTATATCTATATATGTACATATATATATATATATATATATATGTGTGTGTGTGTGTGTGAGCGCTTACATGTGCAAAGACATCATCGAAAGCTTTCCGTGTAAATGGCCCGAGACAAGGCGCCGCTGTCAAACAGCGGCATCCTCACGGGAATGCCCACTTCGGAGAATCCGAACGACGAGGCGGCCGCAGCTGAGCTGGGGTTTGAGGTGGTTGCAGGATTTTCACCGACATTGCTGCATAAACTTATACGCATGATATATATATATATATATAGACTACGTCAATGTGTTGTTCTTGCGTTTTGCGCATGTTTACGTGCCCGGGACGTTCCATTACATGTATGAATGTATAGATATACATATCATTATGAGGCGCTGCAGTGTAGAGGCTGTAGGACTTTCGGGTCCACGGCTACTTGTTGGAGCTCACGGATCCTTGCATGGCTTCTTCCGACTTCCGGACATCTAGTGCTTGTGATTGAGCCCGTGTTGCTGGCTGGTAGGGGTTTCATGCATTTTGGCTACATCCCGATTTCTGGCTTCTTGTGCTGTTGGGAGACCGAAAGCCTCCACATAGAATGTCGCAGGTGCCGAGGTCGAGCGGCAGTTGGCCCTCACAAAGAATCCCGCCGAAGCCTCGGGGGCGAGGTCATTTCAGCTTCGTGGCTTCTTGCTTCGCTGAGCTTTGCAAAGGTCCAAGACGAGCTCTCGGCCAGAGCCACGCAGTCTCTTCAGCCCGCTCCCCGGCGGCTGTCGGATTGCGGAGACGCATGGTGCATGGCTACATGCGCAGCACGTCAGGTGCGATGGCGGAGACGGTGCGGGGCTACTTGCGGAAGGCCCCAACTTCTCCGAGTCGCTTCAGGTTTCGTTTCAAGTCTTGAGCCGAGATGCAGGCTCAAGATGCCGAGCAGGCCCAGAGGCTGCTGCAGGCGGAGCATGCCTTGACACCACAGACATCCGCAACTTCGACGCAGCTGTCCTGACTGAAGCTTGAAACTAGCATGATTGCGCCTAATGTACGGGTTAGAGAGCCAAGAAGGAGGAAGGGACGACTTGTGCAAGGCTCAGCGTCGACCATCTTGGGAGCCTCGCAGCTCCAATTCCCAGGCCAGGAGCTGTAGTGCGGAGAAGGGCTTTCTTCAGGAAACACGGTCCTTCACACTGACATTTGAGGGCATATAGACATCTGTTGTAGCACTTGTAGCATATCTCAAGGTCTGCATTTATTGACTCGGGGCCATTCTGTTGGACTCTGACATAAAATTCCTTCTGCTCTTCCACTGACGCCAGGCCCCTCGTCGAGCCTGGCCGAGCTCCGAGGCGCACGCGCCCGGGGTTCCAGAGATCCCAACACCGATTGACTTGCCTTTGGTTAGCAGGGAATGGAAGCAGGGTAGTAAAAGTCGCTATAATTGTACCCCATTCCTCCATTCCCTACTAACCAAAGGTAAGTTGAATGACGGAAGAATCTCTATGCCCGTAGGAAGTTGCTCGAAGCTTCTTTCAGACAAGAACTCGCACACATCCTCGACAAGCTGAGAATGTTGCGGCCCTCAAAACTTCAGGCTTGTTTCTCCCTGTTAGAGTGTCTGGGTCATGGGACTTTGAACTGGGGTGATAAGTAAGGAAACTATTCTTTTTTATTACCTATAACCCCAATTAAGGTACTTATTCCTTTGAAAAAGTGCAGGCCGACCTCACGGACGTTGTGCGAGAGGTATTGGCAGCCGTCAAGGCTTCTGCTTGTGAGATCTGATCTGGGCCCCGAACACTCAACTCTTGCCCTCAGTACTTCTGCGTCAGTGTCACACGTACCGAGTGTGTAATCGCAACCCTACACTGCAAACCCTCAACCCTAATTCATTACAAGCGACCCCTGCGAGCGTGAGAGTGGAAAGCCCTTCTCTCCGGATCCTCGAAATGCCAGAACAGTGCAGCGTGCACGGCGAGTTGTGCTTGGACGACCCCTCCCATGTCTCCGTCAGCCTTGTGCTTTCCTCTCATTCTGTGCATCACAGCTCTCGGTCGTGGATGCGCGTCTGCTCATCAGGAGCAGAAGCCCGAAGCTGCGCAAGAAAGCAAGACCAAGCTGTCCGAGGACTCGCCATTCACATCTTTGAAGAAACCCAAGGGGCGTTTTCGTCGATTCCCGAGACCCTGGTAACAGGATCCTGGAAGCTCTGAGGGCAGGGCTGTCGCTCCTGTGCAGGCCGGAGCTTCTGCAGAGAAGTCGGTCAGGTGTGGGGGCGCGATACAAATCGGGGTACCGATTTTCCAGGAAATTCTACATAGGAAGGATCTTCCTGATTAGTTGAAGCTGCTGCATTTCCAGCTGAACCTACATGTTTTGCTGGGGAATCTTGGTTTTGCGTGCAGAACCTATCGGACCGCAGCGGGCTCTTCTTGGCTTTCCTCTTTGTTGGGGGCTTTAAGTTGGGTTTAGGGTTTTGAGGCCTTGGCTTGGGATTTAGGGTTCAGGGTACTTCCATTCAGGAGTGCTGACCTTCCGTCCATGTATTCAGGCGATTGCACAAGTCCTGATGCAAGAAAGGGTTGAATGACGTATTATTATACGGTTTCAGGTAGCTGAAGAACACAAGGCTCCCCGCCTTGGACTGTCTCATTGCCAGGCCAGTCCGGGCCTGGATGAAGGCTTGCCTGAACCGCCGCAGACGACGGAGGCGACCCGACCGCCAAGGGGCTGAGGACTTATATAGGATGATCTTGTATCAGCTTCGATTGTATCACAGTATAGTAATATACATGATATACCGAAGTTGATGATATCTTCTGTCATACTGTATGATATAGAGTCATCGCTGGAACTGGTCGAGCAAGTTGCTTCGGTGTCCAGGCCGTCGGGCAGCTCCAGCAAGCCTTGAAGGCCGGTTCTATTGATTTCGGGATTCTCGTGCTTGAGCGACGGAACCTGTTTATGGGTATCTCCATCGAGAGAAGACAGCGCCGCTTGCCTCGTGTTGCTTCGAGGCTCAGCAGGCGTCTTTCGAGAGAGCGATGCAGGACTCGTGTCGCGGTTGTGCTCGCTTGCACCGTGGTTTACGGGGTCGAAGAGGAGCAAGCGGCGCAGCACCAACGAATCACAGAGGCGGCTGCCTCGATAAGGGCAAACCTGAAGTTTTCAGTGCACACCACAGCGCATGTCAACAGACACGTTGACGACATGGCCACCGGTCCCACAGGCACAGACGGCATCTTTCGTCCAAGCTCTACAGGACCGACCCAACTTATGCCGTTGATTCACCCCGTGCATCACGTTCAGACCGCACAGAGAACTTGTTTCTGTCGTGGAAAGCTTGCCGAAAAGACTTGCAGGAACGGGAGAAAGCCCTCGAAAGAATCCTGCATGCCCGGCCCTACGCATGTCAGCATGTTCCAGTGGGTTCCAATTTAGGGCGGCCTTTAGGCAGCTGTGATGGACGATGTTGCGGCGAAGGGGCTCACTGTAGGGACTACGTTGTGGAACAGTCCTAGTCCTCGTGTCTTACTTCGGGACCATGTGCAGTCTTGCTGTATTGAATTCTGCGTTTGACTGTTATTCTGGTCGTATCTGAATGCACCAGTGATTCCTTGTTGCGTAGTCGGTGAGGCATGAACTGCCGTTCTGTTTCTTTGATGGGTTCTTCATGCCAAATGAGGCCTGTGGTGCCCCGTAAGACAAGTAAGCCTTCCCGATCCACCTCTTGCCGGAGGCAATAAGTCTGAAGCGGCAGATGCAGAAGAAATTGAGCAAAACTTCCTCCTCCGACAATCTTCGGGCAGGGTTTAGAAGTTCGTCTCGAAAGGCTAAGGTGACCAGGCTATGTCGATACAACTGCCGTGAAGCAACCGCCCTGTCAAATGTTGATACGTCGCACAAGTTGTTCATTGTATGCTGCTGAGTTGTTGAGAGAAAGCCAACTGCGACGCAGCCAGCTTCGGAGTTGAATCACGTCTGGATTTGTGTTTGCAGTATCTCGTGCGCAGCATCCAAGTCAGACCTCTGCCGTGGGTTTCAGGCCCTGTCAAGGCCCCATGGAACACTGCTGGATAGCGCTTGTCAGCAGAGTGGATTCTCAGATGCACATGAGGAGAAGTCAGCCAAAGATGCGCAAGGATCCACGCCACCCGAGGTGACTTGAAAGCTACAGAGCGATCTATCGGCATGTGCGTGGACCGCCCGCGCAGGACCCCGAAGCCTCGCAGGGAAGAGATGTCGCTCTCACGCCTTCGCAGGCCACGAGAGATGCATCGAACTGTCACATTGCAGACTGGATGGGCATCATGGTCTGGAGGCGTGTCCGGGCCTGGATGAAGCCACACCCGGACCGACGCAGCGTGCGGAGGCGACCCGACGGCCCAGCTTCGCTTTCTTGGCGGCTGTCGTTTTTGCAGTTTTGGCAGAAGCCGGACTTGGAGCAGAATGCAGGCAGAGCAGCCCGTTTTCCAGCTCCAGCAAGCCCTGAAGGCCAGCCCAGGTTGGTGTGTATATATATAAACATATACATAGAAAGAGCGAAAGGGAGAGAGAGAGAGAGACGACATGCGGTCCCAGCTGTTTTCCGGCCCAGTTGATGGCATCCTCAAAGATCCTGAAGGCGACCATGCAGGACTGATCGGCGTAATTGCGGCAGACAGCTACTGCTACAGCTACCTGGTAGCATGCACACTTTGGTCGATCATATCCACTTCTGGGCAGACAAATGCACAGACTTTTCTGCAGGAGCGGGACCAGAAACGTTGCGCCACAGGGCAAGTGACGGATGACTCTGCCGAGGACTCTGCAGATGCACTTGCAGCCGTAAGTTCTGCGACGGTCGCACTGTCTCACTAGCCGTCAAAGGAAGAGTTCTGCGGGCGACCGCAAGACCACGCACCCTGGGCTTCATGCTCCGAGGCCAAGCTCAAAAGTTTTCTTGCTGAGGCATATAATACTACATGGTACGATGATACTGTATCTGATGTATTATATCAGCTCCGGGCCATCGCTTGAATCGCTTGTAAACATTCTGGCATAGGCAGGGCAAGACTTCAGGCCGTTTAGCTGCAGCGACCTTGCACAGCTGTTCGATATCTACATATCTATACATCTGTTTATTTCTCCCGCGATCTATTGGGCGCTTTATCTACCTATCTAGCTACCGGTATATACATATAAAGAAGTAACACAAAACATGTGTGTGTATATATAAGTACATATAAATACATCATGCCATATATATATATATGGGCAAAGAAACATACATTAGAATTTCCGAAACTCAGCCTGAACCAGCTCGAGTCATGAATCGTCTTCTTTCTTTGGAAGACGCCGACCAGCCCGCCGCAAATCCACAAATGCTGTAACCGTGTTGTGTAAGATGCACTCCTCGGCACAGCCAGGCTGCACCGGTGGAGACGAAGGCGAGGCTGCGAGTGCTTCTGGAGCCTGGGGCAACCGCCTGCAGTGTGCAGACGAGTCCGGCGTCGTGCCTTTTCCATCTGAGTCTTGGAAGACAGGAGCCTGAGCCTGAACGGCCTGAACTTCCCGGTCCGGCTTGCTACTTGGCCTTGGAGGCCTAGCAGTAGCTGCTCTGAGTGCAAGCTCCGCCGGAGACCGACTTCAGTCCAACAAGAGGGCCGCGCCAGGAAGTGTCACACCGAAGGATGCCAAGCCGGGAGCCGCGCGCCTGCATGTTAGTAGTGTGCCCTTGTTCAAGCTGTCACCAGCATTGTCCTGAAGTCTGTGCACGGAGAAGAGATGGTTCCGGCCACGCTCGATCCTCTTGAGGTGCCGCAAGGCATGCGCTTCCAGTTCTTCCGGGATCTCATTGAGGACTCCGCCCCATGGTGTAAGTGGGCTGGGTCTTGTCCTGCAATCGGCCAACCCTGATCAGCCAGTGACAGCCACCCCGTAGCAGATCTTACGGCTAAAAGAAACCACGCTTTCGGGTCGCGGCTCTGTGTGCCAACTGCTCGACCACGCCGAGACTCGAAGCTTCGAAGGAGAAGCGCGAGTGGCTTGGGAAGTCCACAGCCCGCGGCAAAGGGAGGAAAAACATGTACGACGTGTGCCCGGAGGTGATCATCGCCCGGCACCCGGTTGTTTCCCTTCCTCGTAGGTTGAAGGCAGGGCTGTGTACGATCTCGGATCTTGCCAGCAACTATAGACACCAGAGTTGGCCTGTCCTAAGGAGAGGACGACCTGCCGCTCGGCTTCGGAGATTTGATTTATAGAGGTCGGAAGGATTGCAGGATTGCAAATGCTACACCCTTATGATTCCCATGATCCCTACGCCTGGGAGCCTTTGATTTTTGGGTTCATTCCTCGCTTCCTCGCTTCCTGCCTGGGCTCGGCTCGAGGCGAGGAGCAGATCCTGGTTCTCTCGGAGGCAGACGCGGGGAAAATCGCGAGGTCCCTCGCGGAGCCCAGCAGCGACCAGAGCATCTTCCTGCCAGACTCCCTGCAGTGTCGATCCGGTGTACACCTCGGCGGCATGAATGTGGAAACTTGGGCGCAGATAGCTCCAGCATATCATTGCGCACAGCCAGCTCTTTCAATCAACCCTGCTCCATGCAAGGACGGACTAGCGATTCAAGGCATCTTGTGCCAGGAGCTTGGCATCCTCCTTGCTGGTGGTGTGCGTGCATGGTCTGCTTGGCTCTCCCTCTTGCAGACCATTGGCACTGATAAATGGTTGCAGTGACATCTTTCATGAACAACTCCTGAGGTGATGGTGGTGGCCAGCGCAGGGAGTACTGGGCGGCACGCGCCGTGCCTCGCTTGCCATAGCCAAGAAGCCATGTATATCAGTCTCGATCATAGCCTTTTGAGGATCGGCAGAACCGCTGGATGACGACTACCGAACATGGCCGGCTGGACAAGGCTCTCCACCTGAGCACGTGGAATGCAGAGACTTGCATCAGAGTCGGTGGCAGGGCCCTCCAGAGATCCCGGCCCACCTCCAAAGCTGCGGGAAGCTGGGCGAGAAGTCTGCACGGCGGGAGAAGGACCTCCTGAAGCAGCCGGGCACGGTCGTCGTGCTTCGCCGAGGAGTGCCTTGGCAAGCTCTGCAGTCTTTCAGTGCCAGCAAAGCCCAATTTGTGAAAGCGCCTTTCGGACAAATTCAAGCGGGATGACCGCGAGGGTGTGGGACTGTGGGAAGTCCGAGGTGCCGTACGCCCAGTTGGAGAAGCCGGGAGAGCTGGGCCTGCTCACCAGCTTCGTTTCGCACGCTTGGGGCGAGGACCCAAGAACTTTCACGCGCTGGTGGGGTGCGGGGTTCTCTGGTGACTCGCCGAGATGTCTGTGAGGGATTGAGCTCCCTCGCCACTTGTGTAGGAGACCCTCGAGTTCGCCCACACGCTGCAACTGCACGCCAAGAGTGTGTACCCCTCGAACCCAGGCCCTTTTGCCTTCTGGTCGGGATTTTGTGTTTTGTCCGTTCTGTGCATTGAAGATAGACGAGCAGGTGCCCTGGTCTACTACATTTGCACGTGGCTCGCTCTACAATAGCCTCATTAGCCAATTCTATCATGCTTTGCATCGGGCACAACAGTGTACATTCCCTCTTCCGTGCAGAAGCTAGTGCTGAATCCCCCACATCCGTGCAGCCGCCGCTTGTACCCTTCTCGCTGCCTGACACTTGCCCGCCATAATGCTGGCGGCGCAAGCCAACCGAGGTTTTGCAACAGCCAACATAGCGTAGCTCGTGCCTGAGACAGCCGTGCAGCGGGCAGAGCCTCGTAGAGCGTAGGGACCCATCTGACATGTGCCCGCAAGGACTTGGGCGGCAACGACTGGCGCCAGTCCCCTTTCAACCTCGCCTTGGAGCACGTGGCAAGCTGCTCTTTCCCCGGCCGTTCGAGTCGATGTCCATGTGTTTGTGCGGGTGTGTGGATAGTTTTTGGAAGCCCTCAGGTTGTCGCCAGAAGTGTGGGCCGATGTACCGGGCGGTAATGCTGTGGCGGCCCGAGTGTACCTTGCTCGACCTGTGCAGCAGCACAGCGTGTCCAAGCGACCACAAGCGTGCGGTTCATGCTCCGTGCCATTGGCGGTGAGGCTTGACAGGTCTTGCAGCACGTTGAAGTGTCTCGGTGGGCATACTGCACCTTAGAAAACAGACGGTCTGCCACGACCGGCTCCGTCTGTGAATCACGGCACCATGTGCTGCCTCGCGTCTCAGGCGGAAGTGGTGCATTTTCGAAGTCTTCCGCTGCCAAAGTCTCGACCTGGAGCTAGACCTGCCGCTCCGGTTCAAAAGATACGTATCGGGTGTTGTGTCAACGCATGCTTGCCGGTCCGAACATGTCCTGGTGTAGAACTCTCAACTCCGAAACCCTATATACCCAAAACCTCGAAACTTTGACTGCAGGTATTGCAGGGACGGTGAGCTCACTCGGGCGAGCGAGTCGCAGCACGCAAAGGAAATCTTGCAGGAGGTCATGGACGTGGACATGACGACCGCCGAATGTTCCGAAAAGCAGGTGGTCAGATTGTAATGTGGTCTGTTGACATGCGCTTGTAGACTTCTGACTCTGCCTAGCCACGTGCCGAGCGAGCCATGTTTTTGATGCCTTCAGCCGAGGATGAGAGGACGATCGACGGTGCCATCGTTGATCATCCGGCTGGCTGGACTGGCGTCGTGTCCAAGGTGAAGATGCAGGCTCCTTCTGGCGAAGAGGGCGGCCGGGATTCAGGAAAATCGAAGTGCTTGCCCGTGGGAATGCTTGAAAAGAGGTCATGGGCCACCTTTCCTTTGTGGCCCACATGGCCATGACCCGCGACGCCTTCTCAGGCGGCTTCATGCCATCGACGGCAACAGGAAAGACAATCGAGTCGTTCGGATCCCAAACTACCCCAGCCTACAAAACGCCTTCAGACTTCCACGTCGCCCGAACCATCTGAAAAGAGTTGTCGCACGCGTCAGAAGCTTCCAGGCCAGCAGATCGAGCCGGAGCAGGGCATTGAGCTGGAGGGCTCTGCGGGCAAGGCCCGAAACACTGAAGCCACAGGTACCCACGAAGCAAAAGCCGCAGGGATTCCCATAACCATTCTCTTTTCCTGCGTAGAGGTGGGGCAGTCTGCTCCTCCATCGCATGCAGGTGAGCCTCTCGGAGCTCATCGACGGCTGCATGCAGGTGCGCAGCCTCCGAACCAACGACGCATTTGCCCCCCCCCAATGGGCCCTTTGAGAGGCGTGTCTGTCCGCATGCTTGCAGCCCTGAGCTCGGGCACGCTTCGCTTTCAGCCTTGCTGTTGCATACAGTGCGAAAACTCCGGGGAACTTGGCCTCCAATCGTTGCGTATTTGCCGCTGATGTTCGGATGCTGCCTCTTCGCAACCCGCGGCACCTTTTAGGTCTGCTGCCGAGCAGCAGCATGTCGCGGAAGATGAGAATCCCGCCAAGGCAGGAGGGCATGGTGTGAAGCTTCAAAATTTTCTGGACCGCTCTCGTGAAATTGTCCCTGTCGCCTCTTCCTTTCTCTCTTTGGGGCCTGTATTCGAGAAGCGGCTTGATCAGAACCATGGAGAGCCGCGAACGTGTTGTCACCTGGGTTTTGCCAAATGAGGTGTCCTTGATCTGGGCCACTTATACAGCTGCAGCACGGCTGCCATGGATCTCGGCACCGCAACAAGTTGTTGGCAGGCTCAGCTGAAGCGGGTTCTCATCACTGGCCAAGGAGGCCTGGAATGTTGTCGTGAGCCCGGATATAGGCGTTATGCGATGGGGGAGCGGCAGCTGTGAGCAGGCACGGGCAAGACCGTTATCACCAGGGAGATCGTTCGGGCAGCCGCGCCTTGTCCATGAAATTGGCAGGAGGATTCGCTCCAACTCTCCTGGATTTCTGCTGTTTGTCATAGCGCTTAGGTGAAGCTGGCCCGCACGGCCCTTACGCAGCAGACCGTCGCGAGGGAGAGCTGGAGGGTTGTTTGGGACTGAGGTGAGAAGGCACTGCGCCTGGTCCCGCTGAGAGTCCCCCTGGCCGAGCTCGCTCGGTGTGCGAAGGACGGGACGAAAGCGTCGAGGGTGCGGGCCAACATATTACCACAACGCTAAGTAACTAACCAGCGCCTGCCTAAAGGGAGAAAAGCAACGGTTCATGTGCTGTGCCTTGCAGGAAGAAGGCGACATGCCTCTCATCTGCAAGCAGTTGGAAGTCGAAAAGACTGCTCTACGTCTGAGGAAGGTGGTAAGCGATTGCATCTGAGGCTGCAAGCGTGGGCCGCACAGGCTTTTGGCAAAGACGGTCAGGAGCTTTTCCAAGGCGCGATGGCACGCCTGCAGCCACCTCCTCTCAACACTGTCAGATTCGGCTTCGACCGCCAGGTGGGAGGCAGCTGCTGCTGCTTCTGGACGGCCTGGACGAAGCGGGAACGGGGAGGCGGCGCATCATCAGCTGGCTCGACGGCTGGCTACGGCTCCTCTGCAGCACTTGGACCGGCCCTGACCGGAACCGTGTTGCCTTTGCCTGCAGTCCAAGACCCTCCCAGGAAGAACGGCGATCGCTGCGCCTGCGTCGTCGTGACCAGTTTTGGCATGTGCTGTGCTCTGAGGGTGGTCGACGAGGAGGGCAAAGCGAGGGAGCCCTCGAAGTCGGCCGTTCTGCACGTTTCCCAGGAGTGCCTCATCACACAGGACGAGAGACATGCTTGATAGATGCCTCAAGTTCTTGGAGAACGTCAGCATCGGTTAGCGACTGCTGGTGTGACGAGGCAAAGTAGAAGAAAGATGCACTAGCGTCGGTTGCAAACGATGTTGTCGTGATGAAAGGCGCTTTAAACGAGGGGGAACGGTATCGAAGCTCTCCAAACCAGCATCCGTTTCATCGAGCACAAAGTTCTTGGCACACCCGAAGATCGTCAGGACAGCTTCCCACAAGGATCTCCGGTTCTACTTACCGACAAGCGTGACGTCGTGGTTGGCCACGGCAAAGTGCACTTCTGCGAGCAGGCATTGTCCAGCCACCTCCTTCGAGAGAAACTGGATCAAGTGCGGGTGTGTGTGTGTGTGTGGGTGCATATTTATATTCATGTTGTTATTACACCTGTACTGGATTCATGCATACCTGCATGTAAATGTACATGCTATAGGCCGTCATCTGCATCATGGCAATGGTATTCGTAACGTGGTGGTGATGATGATGATGATGATGATGAGGTCGAGGATTACACAGGTTGTCATAGGAGAAAGCAGCAATAGAATTCAGTGGAACTAGCCGCCGTAGCATTAATACGCATATGCTACTTGTTCTTCATAGCGATGCCAACACTAGCACCAACACTAATGGCACCAAGAACAGTAAGAGCAGCATTAAGAACAACAGAACAATCAAAACCTTGAACAGAAACAACAGCAGGAATCACACGTGATTAGTACCACGTCTTGAACAACACTTTGCAAAACCCATTTCCCTCCAGGATTCCTCCACCGCTGCCTCCGGTCCGGAACATCTTAGTGACTGGAATGACCTTATTCGCATGGATTAAGGCAGCCCACATTAAATCCACGAGACTTTCACATAATCATAGCTACGCCCCATCCCCTCCCCGCCCTAGAAACAATCTGTTCAAAGCTGACTCAAGGCTTTGGCAATACCAGGCATCACGAAGTGCAAAAGTGATCTCCTGAACACTATCAGCAAACCCTTGGCTTCACGCTTTCGTTTACAAAGTCTTAGCGACAACAGGACTCAAAAGCATTGTGGCGTCACTCTTACTTGGCCATGCAGAACCAATGCACGGTAGGATGCACATACATGGTCCTGGATCTGAATGCTACCTATATATACATATACAGTTTTAGATAATCCAAAATCATGTTTTGATTATTCAGGCCCCTAGTAAAATCAGATATTTATATTTCTAGGTCGCCTGTGAGCCGGGACGTGCAGATGGGGGCATCAGGTGAAGCCAATGTCCCTACTCTGACCTGAACTCGCACGATATAAGTTGGTAGAACCCTGTAAAACTCTAATGTTCTGATGACTGGCTAAGGCGTCTAGACGGCTTCTTCATATAACTTCTTCTTGATACCTGTCTTCGGGCCAACGTATATCGAGGATAACAAAGTCTCAGCAGTGTGAAGAAGAATAAGATTTGGGTGTGTATGAGTTGTTAAACATCTTAGGGTTCGAACCCGATACGAGCGTGATTTCCACTTCCAGGTTTCGTTCTTGCTTCGCTACCTTACGCCGTGCAAAGATACCTTTCTCCCTCAAAGTTTGGCTAGCTTTGTCGAAAGACCCGATGGAGTTCCACAATTCAGCCATTGATCCGAAACATTAAATAGCAACAACGACAACTTTAACCACTCAGCCCTAGACTGCAGGATTGAGCCCTAAACCCGAGCTCGAACACGGCAGCTCTCAAAGGCTTCTACTGAATGTGTCTACACTCTAAAGCAAGAACTACAGCTAAATTCAGCTAAATGTCTCTAAGCCCTCAATCCTGACAAAAGGGTTCCTTGCTACGTCTTTGACTAAACCACCACCCGGCGTATATGCGCTGCAGGGCTGCAATAGAATGCAATAGAGAGCCCAAATGATAATAATCCGAATCTAGATTCAGCATGGCATGATAGGGTTCAGGATCTGAAGTGGGTTCGTATATGGGTTAAGTCGGACTACGGCAGTACCATTACTGGTTGTTCTTAATTCCGGGGCCAGGAACCAAGGACCACGAACCTAATTAGGGATTCCTTTGACTTTATGTTACCGGTGCTGAAAAAGATCCTGTCTGGGTACGTGACGCAATGCGGGTGCTACCGTCCCTGTGGCTGTGCGAGGCGGGCTACAATGACTGTAAAAATACTGTCGAGCTGTTAAGCCGGACGCAGCTGGTCCCGAGGAGAGTGTGTTTCGGAGCCCAATGCGGGAGCTGCCACCCTTTAGCTGTGCGAGGTGGGAATACGTATTGGATCGGCCTGGGGATAGTGATGACAATGACAATGACCATACAAGTCTCATGCGTTTTCAATTTGCGAACATCTTCCCTCGCCCTTCTACCCAGTGTTGTCTGTGGGAGACTGACTATTAAGTCTTTCCGCCGAATGTTGGATTCATACGTCTTCAGCTGGTCGTGCAACCAGCACATGTTGCCTTGAGTGCATGCTCACATGACCGACTTGATCATCTGGGGATTTGGTACATATACGTACAGGCACTCATGCATCGAAGGGAGGGATGTCGTGTCAACTCAGCCAGAGCTTCATGAGCGAAGCCTCAGGGCTTCGTGCTCCCGGCCGACTGGGGCTTGCAGCCTCCAGGATGTCAGGTACGGGTGAAGCGGAAGGACCTGCCACCGAGTGCCTGCGCAGCCACGCTTCTTCGCACTGCTTTTGTTTTACTGCAGGACCCTCACGTGGTTTTCTCCCCTACGATCACCCTGCACCACTCCGACAACAGCCGTGCAGAACTGCTGCTGGAGCGCGCTTGGCGGCATGCCGCCGGTGCTGCGACCGAGAGACGGAAGCTCGCGGTCGTCGACCGGGCAGACGGCAAGCGTGTGCAGGACACGTGCATTGCAAGTGGCCTTTTAACTTACAACTATCCGTTCTGCTGAACGAACGTCACGAAGCATTCAACAGCCTCTCGCCCGTCAGGATTGTTGTAACTGGCGACACCTCCTGTACTGGCCGGAGGCGGCCTTTCCCTGCCGCGCTTGCCTGACAAAGAACTGGTGGCAAGAGGAAGAGGAAGAGGAGGAGGAGGAGTGGGAGAAGGGTCTCTACATTTTTGGGACACCAAGAGGCAACAAAAGCCCGGCTGAAAGACCAGGGCGATTGCAGGATTTGGAGCTGCGCTGCCCTCAGCTTCACGGAGTGCTGCTTCGCTTGAGACCCTTGTAACGGAGCGTGGTTGTGAGGCGAGTAGAGGCTTGCGGCGACAAGGCCTTCGTCACCGCAGAGGATCTGCAGCCAGGCTCGCTGCCGAGAAAAGCGGTTGGGAGCGAAAGGCTCGATCAGGCGAGCGACACAAGCAGGGAAGCAAGAGCGTACCTTGTAGTGCTCAGGGCCAGGGCGGCAGGCAAAGGGGCTGAACCGGGACAGATTCTTGCGGCGCAGAGCAGGCGACGAGCTCCATCTGCAAGGCAAAGCGCTCTGGCTCTGGCCCACGAAAGGCCAGCCGAATGCTCTCCACATGCATGAACGCATATCTCATACAATAGATAGATAGATAGATATATATATATATACACACACATGCTACATAGGTAGATATATCACAACAGTCCGGCAAGTCTTCAGCGCTCCTTTGCTTTCCGCATGCACGGTCAAACCGCGGCGGAGTCGGAGGTGCTTTCCGGACATCCTTGGAGGGCAGAGCGAGCAGTGGCGGCGCTTCCACCGCGGCCTTTCTGTCGGAGATGACCCTGCGAGCCGAGCTCTCCGAGCAGCCCGGGGCCCCAGCGCATCATCGTGGCTGTGAGCCGCTGCTGTGAGCCCACAATCACATGACTCTTTTCACGGCTGGTCCAGGCTGCACTTCCGGCCCCTGCAGCTGCTGCCGCTGAGCCCGGGCATCGCCGCCAGGTCCCTGCAGGGCGTGCTAGGCGTTGCACTGCGGTACAGTACAAGATAACTCGGCAGCATTCTTGGTGTGCAGGATCTCAAAGGTCCAAGAGGAGCTCATGGAAACTTTGCCGGGCGTGGCAACTTGGTGCACAAGACTTTCGGGCCCGTCTCACTGCAGCCGGATTGAAGGGAGCTGCCATGCATGCAGAGAACGAGAGAGTCTGGTCTTCTTCTCAGGTTTGGGGCACGCCATTGATGGCTAGCATCCTTGGCCTCTTCCTCGATGTCGGCGTGTGGCTTCTCATGCCTTGCACTCCTTCGCCTGTGCGCGCCGAGCAGGAGAGTACCGGGAGCGACAGGACCAGACGTTGCCGCAGACTCCCCGCACCTTCATCCGATCTCCTGGCAGGAAGGAGGGGTGGACACGTTGACAGCGGAGCTGGATTTGATGGAGTATGCGCTTGAAGTGCTCATTGCGAAGGCCTTTTCTGCACGCAGAAAATGCTTGCCCTGTCAGCAGGTATGCATGGTCTGAGACCTTTGGAGCTCGACCTCAACTTTAGAGTTTCTTATTAGATGACAACTTCAAAGGAGTATTTAGCATACCAGTTGAGGGCGCTGAAGTCAGTGCGACTACCTACAAGTCCGCCGACGAAACGACTCAAGTACGAATATCTTGTCATCTCTGGTTTGATTCGGTACCAAAACCGTGGCGTGAAAACAACAGATGAATATGTAAGCACATGTGTATACATGTATGTATATATGCTTATGTGTGTGAGATATCTATTTCAATTTGTATCTCGATTACTATCTCTCTATCTAACCATCTAGCTTGCTATATATATATATATATATATATATATATATATATATTTTGGACTTTGGATGCACTCAGTGGTCGACGCGGCTTAATTAGTTGCAAACGGTGCTCTGAAACGAGCGAAGGGCCGGCTAATGGGACTTCGCCAAAAGCTCTCGTCGGCCCATAGGACAGGCTCATGCCCCTGTATCGCCGCAAGCCATGTGGCTTGCAAAGTGGCAGGCACAAACCGCCAGAGCCTAGAATCCACGGCTGAGACACAGATCTTGCCACTGCACTGACGCCACTCAGCTTCCCAGGCGTCATGCAGACTAAAGCGAGGGCCGTTAGGGGTCCCGTGGATCTGGGGCACCGGGACAATTTTGTCCCAGTCGTACCCTTCAGGACCTTCCACATATCCATCAAGTCCCTCTGCTGGCTCAGTAGAGGTCGCTTCTGCCTCCTGCCCGGTGCTTGCGAGTCTCGTAGTCTCCGCCAATGCCCACATCACGTTGCCGTAGGTCTCGAGGGTCCAGTAGTCACCGACAATCTCCTCCTTGGTGTCCCGAATCTCCGCCTCCAGCCTGGTCATGAGGCTCTCGATCTCCTCCTGGTAGAGGGGGAAGCCGTAGACAAT